TCCGGCTATGAAAGCTTTCGACAAAACATTCAGTTTCCCGTTCTTGAGTTCGGAGTAGAGCAACTGCTTTGGGAGACGGTGGTCGGGCATCTGGACAATGTGGCCGAGGTGGGACAAAGAACTCTTATCTGCTGGAGCTAGGTGTGAATGTTTCAACTGACCACCTTGATTAGCATTGGATGGCCTGGCAGTGCCTGGGGCAATCTTTGGTTGAGAGGTGATTAGAACGATGGTGGACAGAAAAAGAGATTTAAAGAGGGGCTCAAAGCCAACCTTAAAATCTCTGGCATAGACACTGAGAACTGGGAAGCCCTGGCCCTTGAGGGCTCCAGCTGGAGGTCAGCTGTGACCCTCAGTGCTGCAGAATTCGAGGAGGCAAGTAGCTGAAGGGGAAAAGGAAGGGGCCTGAGGCTTGTTAGGAATGGTGGGAGTTGAAGTCCAAAACACCTGGAGGGCCCATGCCTGGCATAGAAGCCTTCGCCTCCTTAGAACTACACTTCCCAGGGTGCTCCGCGTGGGACCAAAATGTCCTCTCTTCCGGGACGGCTGCCTGAGTAAACAGAGGTGGGGCCGGGAGGGGCGTGGCCGTGGAGCGGAAGTGGGCTCTTCCTGGCGAGCCCACTTCCGGTTGTCACTTACTCGGCGGCGGGGGAGGAGGAAGAAGAAGGAGGGAAGATGGCGTCGAGCTTGGAGTCGGAGGTCCAGGCTTTCGACGGGAGCTTGCTGGAGTGCTCCGCCGAGGAGGTCGCGCTGGTGAGGGGAGGACGAGGAAGGCCCTGGAGGGGAGGGAAGAGGGAGGGCGAGGGAGAAGGAAGGCGAGGGGGCCGCCCAAGTGGAGGCCCCTTCCTCCCAAATCCTTCAGGCCAGGATTTCGGATTGATGTTTCATATGCACACCATTGATTCATTGATGGTTGATCTGCACACCATGTACACACAGTCCGGAGGCATTTGATACACGGTGCTTTCAATAATTTAGTACAGAGTTTCTCAAGCTGTGTTCCTCCACAGCTTCAGCTCCCTAACAGCTGGGATTTCTGAGAGCTGAAGTTCAGAGAGAACACTTTGAGGCCCCTTCCTTCCACACAGCTGAATAAACTCCCACATTGGGTTGTTGTAGGGTTTTTGGGCTATATGGCCATGTTCTAGAAGCATTCTCTCCTGACGTTTCGCTTGCATCTATGGCAAGCATCCTCAGAGGTTGTGAGACGGGAAACAATCAGGGCCAGCTGACACCTCCTGACTGGATTCCCCCAGGTAGGACTAAGCCAGGCATTGAAGCTGCAAGGCCATTCAATGCTAATCAAGGTGGCCAAATGCAACATTCACACTTGCCTCGAGCAGACAAGGGTTCTTTCTCCCACCCTGGAAATAGATATATGATATCTATTATATAGCGATAGGAACCCTTAGTATGCCAACCAAATTCGATATGGTTGTTGAGACAGTTTTAACTAGTGGATTTTAATGTCAACATATAGATTTTAATGCTTTTGTATGTGTATGGTCTAATACAGGGGTCCACAAACTTTTAAAACAGAGGGCCAGGCAAAAGTCCCTCAAACTGTTGGAGGGCCGGATTATAATTTGAAAAAAATTGAAAGAATTTCTATGCACACTTCGCATATCTTATTTGTAGTGCAAAAACATTTAAAAACAATACAATAATTGAAATGAAGAACAATTTCAACAAATATTAGTATTTCAATTGGGAAGTGTGGGCCTACTTTTGGCTGATGAGATAGGATTGTCATTATTGTTGTGTGCTTTCAAGTCGTTTCACACTTAGGTTGACCCAGAGCGAGGGCCGGGTAACTGACCTTGGAGGGCCGCATCCGGCCACCGGGCCTTAGTTTGAGGACCCCTGGTCTAATATGTTTCAGCATTGAATGTTTGCTGTTTATATGTTGTGCTCTGCCCTTATTCCCCTTTGGGATGAGAAGGGCGGAATATAAATGCCTTAAATAAATAAAAATAAATATATATATAATCAGTTATATAAACCCCACTTGCCTAGTTTCCAACAGACCTCACAACCTCTGATGCTTGCCATAGATGCAGGCGAAACGTCAGGAGAGAATGCTTCTAGAACATGGCCATATAGCCCGAAAAACCTACAACAACCCAGTGATTCCAGCCATGAAAGCTTTTGAGAAAGTCCCACATTATTTGCTTTGAACTGGGATCTATGGCATTGTGGACTCAGATAACCCAGTTCAAAGCAGATACAGTAGGTTATTCTGCCTTGTTATTCTGGGTTATATTGCTGTGTGGAAAGGCCCTGAAAAACACTGATTTGGGACACGAAGCAAAGTCTGTGTCTATCGACCCATCAGAAAAGCAGGGATGTTTCAAGGCCTTTCCACACAGCCATATAACCCACAATATCTGCTTCGAACTGAGTTATCTGAGGGCTCATCTACACTGCCCTATAACCCAGAATATCAAGGCAGAACATTCCACAATTGTATATGTTTTGAACTGGGTTATCTGAGTCTAAACTGTCATATATCCCAGTTCAAAGCAGATAATGTGGGAGTTTTTTTGCCTTGATATTCTGGGATATAGGGCTGTGTGGAAGGGCCCTGAGTCCACACTGCCATATATCCTACTTCAAAGCAAATAATGTGGGGTTTTATTCAGCTGTGTGGAAGGGGCCTGAGGGCTTGGCTCACTTAGGACCCTTCCCCACAGCCATGTAATCCAGAATATAAAGGCAAAAAAATCCCACATTATCTGAGTGTGGACTCAACCCAATTTGAAACAGATATTGTGAGGGTTTTCTGTCTTGATATTCTGGGATATAGAGCTCTGTGAAAGGGCCCTCAGTTATTTGAGTCCACACTACCATATATTTTTCTGTTCAAAGCAGAAAATGTGGGATTTTATTCAGCTGTGTGGAAAGGAGCCTTAGATGTGTGTGGGTGTGAATCAGCATATATTAATGAACACATACACACACACACACATAGATAGATATAATTGGAAAATGGTCTGTGAAAGGGTTTGTCTTGTTAGGCAATGTCTTCTGCAAAGTAAAGCAGGTTCAGGTGTTCTCTCTGATTCAGCAAAAGGTTGTATGGAAAAACACAGTCAAATCTCAGAAGAGGTTTACTTTTCATAGTGTTATTTAGCAGATTTATGGGGAATCGGACAGCCTGGAATTGTTAACAACAAAACTGGTGTCACTCCAGGTGGATTGTTTTAGTGACCGTGGAAAGGTGGGGAGAGATCCCTTGCCAGTTGTACAATTATGTTGAGCAGAGAGTGGATTTGCTTAGTGACTGTCTAACCTGGCCAGACTTCATTTGATCAAGTGTATTGATTTGATATTTGCTGCTTTGTATTTAAGATTTAGCAAATTTATTCTGAAATGAAATATGTACTTTGGATGTTTAACTTGTTTAGATAATAATATTGCTGTATCACCAGGAGGGCTGGTAACATGCTTCTGTGATTTACATTAAAACTCTGAATATTTGCTAGTTCATAATGTTTATAAAAAAAATTAAATTACTTTAGGAAATATGAAGAGTTTTCTTCATGTAAATTTAACTACCTTTGACATCTCTGTGTTTATATAAACACAGCTTCTGAGCACTGTCAAATTTGTGCTTTAGCAGTTTAGTACTGGCAGATGGCTCAAGTTCATCTGCCCCTTCTGGAAATATTCTTTCTTGTCAACTGCTGTCAAGTTGGCTTGTATTTAGACTTATGGTAACTCTGAATTAGAAACCTCTAAAAGTCACCCTTTTATCAACAGCCTGGTTCAGACCTTGCAGATCCGAGGCAGTGGCTTTCTTGACTGTGTCTGTCCATATGGAATGCAGCTGTCCTCTTTTCCTACTCCCTTCTGCTTTAACCAAGCATTATTGTCTTTTCTAGTGAGTCATGGCTTCTCATGATACAGCCAAAGTACAACAGACTCTGTGTAGTTATATTGGCTTGTAATGATTTGCTTGAGGACCCATTAATTTATTTTTTAGGTGACCATGGTATTCATAGACTTCTTGCCCCGCCCTCCCTTTTATCAGCTTTCTTCATTCTCCATCATTTACAACCATAGAAATGGGAAATACAAGTACATTAATATTATTTATCTGTTGAAGTCATTGCTATATTTTTAAAAAGGATTGATACCATGAGCAAGAGTAATGAACTGACAGCATTTGGACATTTTTTAAACAGGTTCTGTAGCTGAAGAAACAATTTTTTCAAGACTAAGATGTCTGTGATAATTAGATGCAAAAATGTACATAACAGTTTTGAACAACCATACAGATTCAGATGCAGTACTTTGTAACTAATATACTGTATAATCTCAAAGTAAAATTAAATTTCATGTTATAAGTGTAAGCATGTTATCTTTTTTGTGTATGCACAGCACAACATCTGAATATTAAATCGTAATAATTCATGTCTAAATCCAATTTTAATCCCAACTAAAGCAAATTTATTTAAATTAATGGGACTTGTTAATCAAAACAAATCTAAGATTCATTGACTGAAATTGGAGTCAGATTCAGTTTTAGTCCCAACTGTACCTGGGTTGGAACTAAAATTGAATCTGACTCCAAAATGAGGAGGTATGAAAGGTCTAATAATCTATTTGAGTGTTCACTATAAGAAAAAAGTAATTGTAAATTATCAGTTTTTTTCTGTAAGTGTTAAGTTTACCAGTGAACAAAGGGACTGTTACATGTTTAGATGGGATTCATATCTATCTCATACATTTTCATACACACACATACACAAGATATAGATAGTTACTAATTGGGTTATAAAATATTTCAAATTGCTAGATCTCCAGCCGAAAAATAGATTTAAAAATCCAAAAATCTACAGTATACATACATCATAGTCAAATGTCACTTATGATATTTCTGAGTTTATCTCAACTTCATATTTGTCAATATTATCCTAACTAGTGTGCATACAGAGTTTGATTTCTTATTTGTATATTTTGAAAAACAACTTCAAAAAAGGTTCTTGTGGGTTTTTTCGGGCTATATGGCCATGTTCTAGAGGCATTTCTCCTGACGTTTCGCCTGCATCTATGGCAAGCATCCTCAGAGGTAGTGAGGTCTGTTGGAATTAGGACAATGGGTTTATATATCTGTGGAATGGCTGGGGTGGGGCAAAGAGCTCTTCCCTGCTGCAGTTAGGTGTGAATGTTTAGCTGATCACCTTCATTAGCATTTGAAGGTCTGCCTGAGCCTGGGAAATTCTGTTCCTGGGAGGTGTTAATCTGTGCCTGGTTTTTTTCCTCTCTGTTGTTTAGCTGTTATAATTTTAGAGTTTTTTAATACTGGTAGCCAGATTTTGTTCATTTTCATGGTCTCTTCCTTTCTGTTGAAATTGTCCACATGCTTGTGGATTTCAATGGCTTCTCTGTGTATTCTGACATGGTGGTTGTTGGTGTGGTCCAGCATTTCTGTGTTCTCAAATAATATGCTGTGTCCAGGCTGGTTCATCAGGTGCTCTGCTATGACTGACTTCTCTGGTTGAAGTAGTCTGCAGTGCCTTTCATGTTCCTTGATTCGTGTTTGGGCAATGCTGCGTTTGGTGGTCCCTATGTAGACTTGTCCACAGCTGCATGGTATACGGTAGACTCCTGCAGAGGTGAGAGTATCCCTCTTGTCCTTTGCTGAACGTAGCATTTGTTGGATTTTCTTGGTGGGTTTGTAGATTGTTTGTATGTTGTGTTTCCTCATCAGCTTCCCTATGCGATCAGTGGTTCCCTTGATGTATGGCAGGAACACTTTTCCTCTGGGTGGATCTTCATCTTTACTCTCGTGGCTTGTTCTTGGTCTTGCAGCTCTTCTGATGTCTGAGGTGGAGTATCCATTGGCCTGGAGAGCCCAGTTGGTGGTTCAGTTCATCTTGGAGGAGGTGGGGTTCGCAGATTCTTTTTGCACGGTCTGCCAAGGCTTTAATGGTGCTTCTTTTTTGACTTGGGTGATGGTTGGAGTTTTTATGTAGATATCTATCTGTGTTTGTGGGTTTTCTGTAGACGGTGTGACCCAATTGTTGATCTGGTTTGCGGATGACTAGGACATCTAGAAAAGGCAGTCTTCCTTCATTTTCTTTTTCCATGGTGAATTGGATGTTTGGGTGGATGCTGTTAAGATGGTCCAGGAACCTGTTGAGTTCTTCTTCTCCATGGCTCCAAATGGTGAAGGTGTCATCCACATATCTGAACCATATCGTGGGCTTTTTGGCTGCTGTCTCCAGGGCTTGTTCTTCAAAGTGTTCCATGTAGAAGTTAGCTATGACCGGGCTGAGAGGGCTCCCCATAGCTACTCCATCTTTCTGTTCGTAGAATTCATTGTCCCACTGAAAGTAGCTGGTGGTGAGGCAATGGTGAAACAGAGCCGTGATGTCTTCTGGGAACCTCTGGTTGATGAGTGCCATGGTGTCTGCTACCGGGACCATGGTAAACAGAGATACCACATCGAAGCTGATCAGTTTGTCGTTTGTATTTAGCTTGAGATTGCTGATTTTTTCTATGAAGTGGGCTGAGTCCTTGATGTAGTGTGTAGTGAGCCCAATATGGCTTTGTAACTGTGCAGCAAGAAATTTTGCTAGGTCGTATGTGGGGGATCCAATGGCACTCACGATGGGTCTGAGTGGGGTGGAGTCCTTATGGATTTTTGGGAGTCCATAAAGCCTGGGTGGATGGGCTTCCGATTTACATAGCTGTTGTCGTATGTCAAAGTTTATTGAGGAGTTCTTAATCAGGGTGTTGGTTTTCCTGGTTATTTTGGCAGTTGGGTCTTGCTTGAGTTTTTTGTATATAGTAGGGTCCAGGAGTTTTCTGATCTTCTCCTTGTATTGTTCTGTATGCATGATTACTGTGGCATTCCCCTTGTCTGCTGGCATAACGAGGATATCAGGATCTGAATTCAGTTCTCTGATGGCTTGTCTCTCCTTCCTAGTAATGTTACTGGAGGGAAGTTTTGCCTTTTTCAGGATCCTTTCTGTTTCTGCTCGTACTTCTTCTGCTTCCTCCTCGGGGAGGCGATAAATTGCTGATTCAACATTGGCAATGATGTTTTCTACTGGGATCCTGGTGGCGGTTACAGCAAAGTTTCCTCCTTTCGCTAGTATGGATACTTGGTCTTCAGAGAGTTGTCTGTCTGTCAGGTTGATGATGGTCCGTGATGTATCCAGTTGTGGTTTCGGCTGTTGCTTTTGGCGTTTGTGGAATTTTTGTTTTTGTCTGTTGGTATGGCCATAACCCTCTGCAAAAGACAATTATATCAATCTATATACTCTTCACTGGCAAATTTTTGAACATCACTTTGCCTGCAGGGAAGTTAATACAATGATCCTGTGATTATTATTCCTGGTGTCACCTGTCTTGTGGCATGAAAAGGACATTTTACTTACCATTTTCAAACAGCCTGGAATACAAATTTGTTTAAATAGTGATACATTAATGGGTGTTTTCAAAAGGAGACCCAGTTTACACGAGTTGTTACAGTGACAATAATATCTGTTCTTTTGACTCTGTGTAAAATGTATGTATTTGTTATTCCATTTAAATGTCACCTTTCCCCTGGATTGGTTCTCACAAAATTGTAAGTTTAAAACATCGTAATTCTAAAATACAGTTAAATTATCATATTAATATGACATGTTAAAAATAATTACATAGCAGTCAACAAATAAAAAATAAAGCCCCCTGCCCTCACATAAGAAGCCCCCCTGCAAGCCATTACCTATTAAAAGCTTGTTTAAACTGAAAAGTCTTTTCCTGTTGATGGAAGGAGAACAGAGAAGGGGTTGGCTGGGCTCAGTAGGAGAGCTTATGAAGGTGGTGGGGCCAAAAGAAGGCCTTCCCTTGTAAATCTCAGTGTTCTGTTAGGTTTGTGTAGGGAGATCCAGTCTTTCAGATAGTTTGGATCTAAACAGTATAGGAGTTTATAGGTTATGACCAACTCTTTGAATTGTGCCCAGAAATGAACCAGTGGTTTTAACAAGGGAGTTATATAGGCCCTATAACTGGCTCTTATCTGCATCCTGGATTTGCTGTAGTTTCTGAAATTGTTCTTCAATTCTACTTCATGTTGCCTTTGTCCACTGTATGGTAGCTTTCGAAAATATTTTACATTTTATGACAAAATTCAGTAGATTATAGTAGTGTTTCCAACTACTGGTATTAGTAACATTCAGTTTAACGGTAACTGTTGTATTTTCATTGGCATGTGTCTTAGGTAAAAATTAAATCATCAGCTCTCAATTTCTGATAAAGAAAGTGTGAGATTGACAACATGTTCCTATACACAACTGTAAGTCCCATCAATGGGACTTCAACAGATTGTCTTCCAAACAGTTAAATTAAGTAATGCAAATTAGAAACTAGGCATGGAAAAACTGTATGTGAAAAATAAGAATTATGCAAATGGTAACTGGCTAGTAGTAGTTGATATTCTACATTAAGAGACCCTATCACATCTTTTACTTCATATATGAATTATTTGGCAGCTCAGCATTCTATGCTGTGATAATTTGAAAGCACTGTATGATTTAACTAATCATTCAGATGACTTTATTTTTGAAGATACTGCCACAAAACAGTTGATATGGAGAACAAACTGAAAGACCATATTCGTTATTTAACCATGGCATGCTTGCAAAGTAATCTTCATGTTGAATGCCATTGTTTTAGTGAAATTGCTGTTTGGTGATTCCTTGTTCACCTGGTTCAGCTTAGAGCTGCTTCTGCATATCAGTTAGAGAGTGGCATGACAACTGTATTCTCATTTTCTCAGCAGCATCATGCTATTTGTAAAACCTACACTGTCTATTTGAATCTCCTTGTGAAAGTTTTCAAGCTACATATACCAGGGTGTATTTTTTCTTTCTCCTGTCTTAATGTCAGGAACTATCCTTTTGCTATTCTGGTTCCCTTTGTCAGTCTTATCTTTACATGTCTAGAATAGTATCAAGATAGTACACTGATGACCAGTATGGGCGAACCAGGAGGAGGACAAGGGAAATAAACTTGTCAGTTCTAGCAACTTGTGGGGAACCATTCTTGAATTATTTAGAAGGTCGAGCAGCACGAGAGCAAAAGGAAAGCTGCTGTTTATTATTTTTAATAGTATGTGTTCAATTGTTATTAATGTTGCTCGCAGTTCAATTACATTGTAATGTCATTTTGTATATTTTAGTTATATTGTTTTAATGTGTAAACTGCCTTGACGCTTTCTTTGGAAGGAAAAGCATGATGGTGATTATGATGATACAGATACCATAGTTATTCATTTGCGCATTTAGAATTCAATATATCAAATAATAAAAGCCATGAAAGGTACATCAAGATGTTTTTGAAATTGCACTGTCCTTTGCATAGTCTGTAGAGTTTTGAAAGTCTTGGTCTCAGTTTATTTCCTGCTTTAGATGTCTGTCTCCTGCATAAGACAGCTTGGGACAAAGTGAATTTTACTTCCACTTGAGGTTGCAGGATGTAGTTTGAGTAGAACAAAAAGGTTTAAACTTATTTTCTTCCAGTGGTAGATGCATAGGGGTGTTATCCTCCAAGGTCTAGTGTGGTGGTTCAACCTTGAGAACTCACCTATCCCTTGAGAAATTTTGTACAAGTGACATAATATTGTTATTTTTGTTTGTGTTGAGCTAGTCAAGTTTCAACGATAATGGGGTGTTCAATGTTAGGAAGTTTAAAATGGACTATCTGTACCGTATCTTGATCTGGAGAAGCAATTCTTATTCTCTTGTTGTTGTTGTTTGTGGGGAGGGGCACATTTAGGGGACACGCCTTCAAAGTCCGGTGTAAGGCCTATGTGGCTCCATTCCTTTATGTGGTTACTTACCACTTCAGAGAGTCCATACAAATAACCAAATATTGCCAGTACATTTCTACCGAGTTTGCGATATTCTTGTTTGTATCTTGTTGAGTTGTGTTAGGAAGAAAAAAAAATAGATCTTGTCCTGATCTAGAAAGTCAGTGTTTGTATTCTCTTTTTAATAATTCTAACTTAAATGTTCTTCTCTTTTCATTTCTTTATCTCTGAAAACTATCTGAGCAAAGTTGAAAGAACTCTCAAAAACATGGTCTAGAATGGCTTTTGTCCTTGTTTTCTGTTTGTTTGCTTTTTGAAAAATAGGTCCCTTCAGCTTCTTGTTAAACACAGTTTTGCAGTGCCATTCAATCGTGGGTTTGTTTTTTTTTGGGGGGGGGGGTGTTGTACAGGCGCCACATAAGTGCCAGACGTCCCAACTGGGGTTATTTAGGGTCAGGACTGCTAAAGTGTATTCACTTGGTGTTCCTGGCAAACCTTGAAAACCAAGTTGCTTATTCTTCATTGTTTAATGACTATAGTTAAAAAGAAAACTAGAGATTTAAAAGACTTGCCAGTTGTCTTTCTAAAGGTATTCATCACCCTAGTTGACATCACATAGTTCTTCCTTCCCACAGCATCCTCTTTCTCTAGCAATCCTGAAAGTAGCAATGTCAGTACATTTCATTGAAAGAAAGCCTCAAAGCACTAAAATGCCATTAACTTGAGTATTTTAGAATGTAAGCCTATGCTATGCACTACTTATTATTATTAAAATAAATAACTCAGAGTATTATGAATTTATTTATATGTCTTTCTGGAGGTTTTTATTTTGGTAATTACTTGCTTTGGAGACAACAATCAAAGTTCAAATAATCCTACAACTAGCTTTGCATATCCATGACTTAAATCGATAAGATAACATTTACATATATCCTGGGCAAGGAAACAAGAGACGTTATTGAAAGCCTGTGGGATCAGCTACTTGAGCCTTACGGAGTGTACTTAAGCTTTTTGGTATGTTCAGAATACAGTGCACCCTCCTAATTTGCTGGTGTTAGGGGCACAGGATATCATGAATGAGGGAAATCCCCTAGGTCAGTGGTTCTCAACCTGTAGGTCCCCAGGTGTTTTGGCCTACAACTCCCAGAAATCCCAGATAGTTTACCAGCTGTTAGGATTTCTGGGAGTTGAAGGTCAAAACATATGGGGACCCGCAGGTTGCTTGATCTTCCAGTGTGACTCTGTGGCCAGCTTCCACTGGAAGTGTTTGAACCTAGAGAAGTGTTCCCTCTAAGACCTCTAAAGTTTTTCAGTAAATTTCTATGGACAGTTTTCATTGGAAGTTCATTATAGAATTGTGCTGATGAACTTGAAGATTCCTAAAGAGGTGATCTCTCCAAGAATATTTAGGTCTTCCATCATATCTCTATGGTCGGCTTGATAGAAGTTGACCATAGAATTGCACTGGAGGACCTAAGATTCCCATGAAGGCGATATTAATCAATACCATTAATAGTCAAACCAGCAAATGTGGCGGACATACTGTACATCATTTGATCTTAAGATGTTAAATCAAATGCAATTTTTGAAATGTTAAACTACACAGAAAAACATTGCCATTTATTGTTGTTGCTATTTATTTGCTCAGTCGCTTCCAACTTTCTGAGACTTCATGGACCAGCTTAAAAAAGCTTTTAAAAAGCTGTTAGACTGTTTTAAAATATTTTTGTAATGTAATCATTTTATAACACTTTTTTTATAGAAATGGCTGCAAACCTCTGATCTTCCTAAAGAAATATATAAGCACTTAGCTTATTATGTACCCAAAATATACTGCAAGGGCCCTAATCCGGCCCCGCAGAGAGAAGACATGTTGGCGCAGCATGTTTTGCTGGGCCCCATGGAATGGTACCTGTGTGGCGAGGATCCTGCATTTGGCTTTCAGAAGCTTGAGCAGTCAAACAAACCATCACATCTTTGTGGCCGGGTTTTTAAAGTTGGCGAACCAACTTACTCTTGCAGGTAAACATGCTGTGTAATGTATTTAAAATTATTTTTAAGTTGCCTTTAAATATATATACTCTAAATAAAGGAAACAATTTAGTCAAATTTAATATTGCAAAGAGAGAGAAAGCAAACATAGATTCACTCCGTTATTCTGAAAAAACACTCAAACTGAGTGCTTCTGAAATCTGCATTACCTGACTAATTGAAATTCTGGGAGTTGTGTAGAAGAGTCTTGTCAATCTTGGGATTATGAATGGTAGTGTCTTTTGAGTGACAGAGTTTGGGTTCTTGCTCCACAAGGGAGGAGATAGTGTATTGGATGATATTTTATTACACTTTGTATATTCAGCTATTGTATTATCC